CTCGTTCTCTATTAAGGACACAAAGTTGTTACTTACTATTTATATTTATTGCTCCGTTTTAGTTTGTTAGGATATCTATTCTTGCATTTCGATCACCTCAAACTAGATTCAATAGTTTAATAAGCTAAATCTTCCTCTGTTTGAAATATTTTGGCACTATCCTCATGGGATCAATTACTTGATCAACACTTATATATTCGTGATTGACCAAGCTGCCCCATAAAAGATTATGGGCATCACAGATGCACCAGGGGCCCAATTCAACTTCTAGGCTCTTCAATATTTTGTTTCTATAGAGACCTTATTAATTCAATGGAGGAAAATGAGAAGGATGATGATGGTGATGAAGATAATGTTAAGGGTGGAGACACTTGAACTTTGAGATGATCTGATTTCAATTCTATTACTGTTTTTTTTTTTTGTGTGATTGTTCCTTTATATTTGTTTTCGCTATGGATCATGGTTTTGGACTTAGATACTTCCAACAAATGACATGACTTGTTATGTGTTGAGTTATGACATGTATGTTAATTAAAATTTTGTATTTTATTATTATTGTTTCATGTTAGCATGTTTCCATGGTTATATGTTTATATTCATGTTCTACCCTACCATGTTTCTCTCTCTCTCTATTATATTATTACATGTGTGGTGTAAAATAAGTTTGGGGGAGAAATTTTTGTAAAAATTATGCCCTAAATCTTAGATTTTATTTTTAAAATGGTATACTTGATTAGGATTTAGTGAGATTTAATAATATATAAAGAAAATAAGTAGAGGTGACATGGACCTTCATTAAATTTTAAAAATTAGCAGTAAATCACTAACGACTGATTTCTAACTACAAATAATTATTCTTCTACATAAGGATTCTTAACCACTTAGAACAAAACCTACTACATATAAAATTAATTGACAAACAAGTGCACATGATTTAATTCTTCATTAATGTCCCTTGAATTATGATCTAAATTAAGTTAGGAAATAATTGAGAATTTGATTGGAGAAGAGTTGGTATTCAAAATCATAAAAGAAATCCGAACTAGATATAATATTCCCCTATAAAATTTAAAAACCATCGAAAGAAAAAGAAAATTAAAATGACTCAATTTATATAAAAAAATTCAAAATCTTTAGAGGAGAAGCTTGATGTTCACCTTTCTAAAAGTCTGAGAATCAAAATCCTCCGAAAAACTCTGAATTTAGAATATAGTATTCATTAAGATAATAACTGAATTAACATTTTTTAGTTGATTTAATTATAAATTATTTATTAATATTTATATTGAAAGGGTAATAATATAAGTTATGTTGGGATATTAGGGGCTTCTAAGAAAATTTAATCTTAAGAAGAAATTTATATAACACGTATTATTTAATTATTTTATTACTAAAAACACTGCGATTCTAAGCCACAATCTACTATGAATTTTAAAAAATTCTAAATTTAGGTATTGAATTACTAAATGGAAAGTAATGTTTAAAGTTTGGGAGAATTTGATGTGTAGAAATTTTGACAAGATATTTTTTATATTTTAATGTTTATTTTGTCTTTGTATAATTTTTAGTGATATCCATGTTCGTTATGCAGAATATAGGTAAGAAGGCAACATGAAGGAGCATAAAAAGCAGATGGATGCTAAGTTCTAGACTAGCGCCTAGGTGCCAAAGCCTAGTGCCACAACATTGTCCCCTACCTTCATTCAACCAAAATTATAGAGGAGTTGGAAAGATATTACTTGCCCATAGAGCTTAGGAGCTCGATCCACTCTATCCACTTTGAATGTGAACGATAGAGGAAGCAGAAAGTAAGTGCTTCAACCTGACACTTATTTTCCCAAGCTAGAAAAACTTGAAGAGAAGTTTCCTATGTGCTTGATACCAAGGAGGTGGAAACCCAATGCCCCAACCCCAACACCTAGGGGCCTAGAACTGACCTTTGACATTTTGCTTGATTTTGATGGGATTTGGGGTTAAATAGCGTTCTTTCAAATGAGAAGGGCTCCGGTCTTTTTTTTGTTAACTTAGATTCTTAAGGAGAAGTATCGAGAGATAATGAGAGTAGGTTTGCGTTAGTTTTTTTAGATAGTTATTCAGTTTGTTTACTACAATGCGAATTCGTGAGAGAGTAAATTCAGTGGAGATCATTGTTAGAGGTGTGATTATGGTCGAACAAGGGAATTACTTCTTGAGTTTGATTGTTCTTCTTTGTAAACACTTTTTCATTTTGATTTCAAAGAAATTTACTTAGCTTTCTCTCGATATGTTAAGGAACTAAATTTATTTTGCTTATTTGATTTGGATGTGTGAAAAATCATATTCATTTCATGAGATTTATTTGAGATTTTTTGGGATTTAATTGTATGTTTATTTATTGTCGTTTTAATCTTTATTTAAATTTGGACATTTGAAATGTTAAAATTCCTTGTGATCTAGGACTTCTAAATGTAGGCTAGAAGAATGAATAGAACAACACACTATCATCTAGTGAAATAAAAAAATTGTTAATAGGATATTGACGGCTTGAGTTGAAAAAACCAAGGGATATTGATCATGTTTCTCTTCATTTCCTCCACCATCCTCTTTAAGCTCAATGTGATCAATTTTAGAATTAAAACCCTAAGTCTACATCTACTATATGTTGAATATTCAACAATTAATTACTATCTTTAATCAAAAGTGTTCTCATATTATTGAGAGGGGTAATTAACTACAGGGGCTTCAGCTTATGAGAATCTTCAAACCCCATATAAAAAAGACCTCTCAAAATGACGATAAAATCTTTGGGTTATGTCTTATCTATAGTCCAATCTGTTTTTTTAAATTTTGACCTGACAAAGCTTTCAACACGAAGAGTCTGTGGTGCTAATTTTTTTGAGCCCACAGCTGCCACGATTGGCAACTTTTGTTGCTAACAAGGTTGAGGCTTACTATGACCCACAATGCCAATATATGCTGGCACAAACAAAATGAATGCACGACATCACTAACAAATTGGATGATCAACTTTAACAATATGCTAGATGTCGAGCATCACCATCACCATCACCATCACCGTCAATGCCAAACATTAGTACTATCAATTATTCATGTCATCGGCACAATGCCAACACCTACCAATGACAATAACCTGGACTGCCAAAAGGAATGCCAACACTCACATTGCCACCAATACTAACCCCAATGATTGCAATAATACCAACACCCATCATCACTCCCACGCTCAACACCTACCATCACTTATGACAATAACCTGGACTGCCAAAAGGAATGCCAACATTCACATTGCCACCAATACTAACCCCAATGATTGGAATAATACCAACACCCATCATCACTCACACGCTCAACACCTACCATCACTCGAAACTCCGAACTTAAATGGTGCAACACAAATCACATTTCATAATCCAGGCCTTTAATATTGTATTAATACTTTCTCGAAGTAATGGTGCAACATTATTTCACATAAGAAACTATCAATATCTAATAAGGGTTGCTAAAACCGTTATCATTTTTAAGATGTCCAAGTCTTTCTTCACTAACTTGAATGCTTTTATACCACCACGTATGTCCCAGCACAACCAATTATCTAAGTTTACGACATAGAATAGAATAGATTCTAATTTTATTTTACACATTTATTGATAAAAAATCAAAATTAAATGCGGAAAAAAAAAATAAAGCTACTAATGTTTCAATTCTTGAAAATACATTGAACATTACGAGGCCGAAACTGCAGAAACTCTGTAGAAAGTTAGGTTAGGAATAGTTCAGATGGAGTAAATGAAATAATATGCTCGTATGCAGAAGTATAAGTTGGTCCATCAGTCCAATAATTAAAATATAAAATAAAAGCGAAATTTTAGAAAAATTTAAAAAAAAAATAAATTAAAAATTAATCCTCATTCATATTTATGAAAAAGTTTATATATTCAACAATTACTCATTGAAACGGCAAGGTGTTACTGATTTCATAGCTATTTTAAAAAGACTTATATAGGGCCCTTTCATCCTCACAAATTTAGATCTTATGAGTTTGGCGTGCAAGACAAATTTTGCACAAATTGAACTAAAAATTAAAAAAAAAGTAAAAATTAATAAACTCACCGTCCATTCACTTCTTATATATTTCAAATATATCAAATTTTGGTCATGTTTCACATACGCTGCAGTCTACGAGCGTTACCTGTCACCCATAGGAGAAAAATTTACGTGCGTAAGACGTATGCAACGTTGCGTACGTCATGGAGGTTAATCAGAGGGTATTGAGGGATTATATCCGCGCTATACCCCTGTAACCTCCTCGTAACCTACAAATATATGAAAACAGAAACGCGAAACTTACTAGAAGGTACATGTATGTTACAGGTAAGTTACAGGAAGGTGCAAGGGTTATAACGCGGATATAACCCCCAATACCCTTTGAATAACCTACCAGACGTACGCATCGCCGCTTATGTCTTACGTACGCAAATTTTTCTCCATCCATACCCGATATATGCAATCGTCGCCAAATGCCTGCCACTTGTCAGCCACAATTGGCAACGCACCGCGGCCACAGCTCCCCAGTCGTCACTGTCCCCACTTGGCTGCAAACCTATGGGTCTTACATCGATTTAATTTTATGTCAATACAAACAAAAATAATCTCCTATATTTATTTTACACTCAACATGACTCAGAAACTTTTCAAAACACTAGTACATTCCTTCTTCAACCACATAAGCAGCTCTTTAGAAATAGTATTTCCTCGCTAAAAAAGAAACTTGTCTTAAAAAAAGATTGGAAATCAGCGGAAAATGTTTTAAAATAAAATTTTCATATTTTCATATAGATATAGATATATATATA